GCACCACCAACTGCTCTTCAGCGTGAAGGACGCTATTTTTGATAGCGGACATTTGTCGTTTGTTTTGTCTTCTTCATCTTTTCTTCTCACTTCTAGCTTGCTTCAATTTCATCTCCATCTTCATCTTTAGTCTTCATCTTCATCGTCATCTTGACTCTCATCCTCATTTTGATTTTTCCCCCAAACAGTGTGGTACACACAAAGGGGTTCTTACAGTGAGAGTAAAGAGTAAAGAGACAGGTGCTAGATCGAGGTGCCCGGCTTTGTCTTGATTTGTCCCCGGGAACGGTGGAGAGAGGTTAGGAGAGGGGTGACGGAGAAGGGAACAGGGAAAAGAGAGAAGGAACAGAAAAGGAAAAGAAACAGATTCAAAAAAAGAAATGAAGAGAAGACGAGAAACATAATAAGAAGAAAGTAGAAGAACAACCGGAAAATGGAAGAGAAAACGGAAGCAGAAGAGGAAGGAAAAATAGAAGATCAAGAACAAGAACAAGAAAGAAAACAAAAACGAAAACCAGCAGAAGAAGACACAGAAACATAAGAGTAAGAAGAAACACAAGAACAAAATCAAGAAGGAACTACTCCGGCAAGAGACCCCAAACAATGTGGGTGAACAAATATGCACGGTGATCCATGGTGGTCTATGGTGGGCCATGGTGGTCTATAGTGGTGATGTTGCATGGTGGTCGTGCATGGTCTGTGGCCTGTGGTGGCCAAGGCCACCATGTGGTGAGTTCGTGCATGTCGGTCTCTGGTGGTGATGTGACTGGCGGTGACTGGTGTAGGCGGTCCGTAGTGGTGATGTTGCTTGGTGGCCGTGCGTCGTCTATGGACTTTGGTGGCTATATATGGTGGTGGTGGTGAGCTTGCGCACGTCGGTCTATGGTGGTGATATACGGGGTCTATGGTGGTCATGTTGCCTGGTGGTCGTTCATGGGCCTTGACGCAACACGCGAAACACCATGAGGAGGGAGGCCCACCAGAGGCCAAGAGATTTTAGCGGTATTTGCAGCACGTCTGTCCGAAAACGAGCATGGCGCCTAAGTTTTGACCCTAAAATTCGCGTCTCGCCACCAGTTTCGGGCACGTCGACACGCACCATCCCTGTAGAGGGTCACCGAAACGAAGTCCCAGCCACCGCTTTTTGTGAGCCTGCACATATAAGACGCACTTTGAGATCGAAAAAATCGAGAAGCAGCAGGAGGAATGCATCAGACCTGCGCGTGGTCGAGTGGCGCCGCGCGTGCGAGGCACTGCGCGGGGAACCCCAGCGCAATATGTCAGGCGTGTATGTATCGGCAGGGTTGTGAGATCCGGTCGAGGTGAGTGTCATGTCACAGTGTTAGGTTTGAGGAACTCGTCAGATTCCAGCTCAACTGGACATGCTGTGGTGAACCTGTGGCAGTGTGAAGTGCTTCTAGATGTCAGTTGCAACATGTTGCAACAATCCCATTGGTTAAGATGCACTGTGCATGTGTTAGAACATCTATTCGGGCAGCACATGTATAATTGCTCAGCGCTGTATGCATGCGCTGCATGCACGTGTTTTTTTGGTTTCCCTACCTGCTGCTAGTTTTGCCTAGGGACGACTGAAAACCGGACCCACTTTTCTGACATTTTCGGACTCCACAACGCTTGGTCATGTCATCACATGGTGTTGGGGGGGGGTGGGGGGGTGGGGCGAGGGTCAAATTCCCCGCAGTGGAGCGTGTAATAATACACAGTATCCCTGGATTCAACTCACAGTCCAACAAGGTTCACAAGAGCGAGTGAGCGAAGGCGATCGAGCGGCCGTTTTCACACGCACATACCTTGAGCCAAATATTATGGCACGTCAATGCATTGCGTAAGAGCATATCGCAAGATAACCAAGTTGAAGCAATAGCGTAAACGGGGACCCAAAAACAGAAAGCACGGGTAGGTGTTGTAATTTCGTTGCTCTCACATACGTCTCATGAGCATGAAGGCTCAAGAAGTAGCCACCGTGCGCTTTACGTTTGTTGTGTCGGTTGTCGGGTGTTCCTTGACCTCCTCGTTTTTATTTGTGGTTTCTTCGTTTGTGGTGTGCCAACCCTTTTTCTTTAGACCAGCACGTAGACGGTTTAACTCGTGGTTGTTCTGACCCTTTAGTTTCTTTTGTTCACGAAACAGTTTTGGGTTCAGATCGTGGCAGGGTAAACTGAGAGCAGGTGTTAGAAGCTCGTCTTTCGTTGTTCACAGTTTGGTGCAAAGTGCGGTTGAGGTTTTCTTTTTCGAAAAGGCAGAAACTAACTCCTTTTCTGTTGGTAACTGTTGGTGTTGAGTTGGCGTTTGTTGCGTCGTTGTAGCAGCTCCATGTCGGATGGGTGCGCCGCCGCTGATTTGCCCGACAATGGCATCAATGAAAAACACTTGCACTCGGAGCCTGACTGGGAACAGCTAGTTACACAAAAAACGTGCAACTTGAGGTGTCACGAAAAAGCCTTTTTATTTAGGCAAAACGCATGACAAAGCACGTCGTTTACCAATGAATTTGACATGAGAACCTGCAAAATAGGGTACGGTTTCCAATCCGTACGGTCGTTTTTGGACATTGTAGTTCACCATAACTGTTCATTCTGCTCGTTCTTCCAGGTAAATTACTTATTATAGAATCTTTTTCTATTACTACGATTACTACTTCTACTATTACTATTACTACAACCTACTACTACGACTACTACCTTTCCCTTTCGCACATACTAAGTAAGTCAGGCATGACTTATGGTTCAAGCACGCAGAGCGCCGCTACGAGCTAACGATGATAGTCAGGTTGGATGTCATCTTGGCCTTTGGCCTCACCAACCGCTCTCAAAACGCTAAGCTCATCGCTCAGTACCCCATCACATACCTTCAGGTGCAGGCTCGCGACAAAGGCTGCGAAGGAAGCTGCGATGGCATTGTTGAGGTCTGGAGGATAGACCTTCGCGCCGGCTGGCCGGAAACGTCCACCAGCGCGTCCTGCCAAGCCCACGTCGGCTCCAGGACCCAGTAGATCCTTGACTAGTCTGGATGGAACCCTCATGTGACGTGAACGGCAGCTAAGAGTCGCCCACCGCAAGCATGGCTTGAGCATTTGCCGAACATGTGCATGCAATGCGGTTCTGCCTGGCGGCAGTCTGTCTGTGGAACATGGTAGGATCAATCTAGGGACCAGGTGAAAACCCTGCCACAAAATGAAACGCGCAAAAGCATGCGCATGCCTGCCAATGCCCCAACACCTGCAGGTGAAAACCCTGCTGACCAGGTGGAAACCCAGGTTGGATTATGTTGGATTGAGTCCCTGAGCCTGGCCTTTGACCCAGCCGTGTGAACTTCAGATGCACGTTGCAAAAAAGGCCATCCCAGCATCATGAATCGATCTGGCCTCTGCATCAGTCCTGAAAGATATTAATTTTGCACTTCAAAACCCAAAAGCAGCTTCAGATGATCTTCTTGCGAAGGTGTTAAAGTTCGCACTCTTTCTGTGAACCTTATCTTTCTTGAGGGCTTGGACACACCTAAGAAATATAACTTTTTTGTTTTTTGTGTTCCTAAAAATTTCCTTCACTTTACTCATATCTTCACTACGGTATATATGATGCTGATTTCATCGGAGGTTTTGGCAGTTGCTCAGATCGCGCAAGCCACAATCAAAAAGCGTCCAGCGCGCTCCGACAATCCAAACCAGGTGTACAAGGCATGCCTTGGATCATGGTGAGGCAAAATGAACAATGGAAGCTGGAGAGAAAGAGAAAGATACCTAGACCCAAGGGACAACCAGGTACCCAAACATCTGGGTCGAACTTTGAATTCAGCGAAGGGAAAATGGGTACAGCGCAAGAATTCGAAGTCTTCCACAAACGCCCAACCTTCTAACCCCAAAGACCTCCACAAAGCTCTGCGAACCGCACATACTTCGATATATCGCGCTGCACGCCCCGTTCGATTTGCCCTCAACTCAACTTAACTACTAGATCTAATGCAGTAGCCAGAGTACGATGCCAATGGCTCAAGAAACAAGAAAGGAGCAGTGCTTGGTGTTGGCTACTCCTGGCGACCTGCCTGAACATCCTGCGCCAGCCACTTCGCGATCGCCGGCATCAAAATCACGCGTCGTGGCCGCTTGGACTGCACCTTCACGCTGCCACTGCAATATCCAAGCTTTCCAGCCAAATAGTCACCATGAGCTCTTCGGTCCACCTGCGACGGCCTGAACCTCCTTTGATAGCATGGAGTCTTCTTCATCCTCCTCCACGCAGTGAAGTCCGAAAACGCCACTCGCAGTTGCTCTCCAAGAGACAACGTGTCTCCACCGAAGTAGCCTTCCTGGATTCGGGTTAACCTGGGCGCGTATACCAAATAATAGATGTATCTGCAGGTATGCAAAAACTCTGACAATATTCCAAGGCTCTACACCCTTCAAAAGTTGCTCATGTGCGTGCACAGTACACTGAGCTTAGCACAGAATTGCACCGTTGATTGTGAACACTATGCCCATGCTGCATTCGTGCATGGAGCAGGGCTTGATCAGCGCTGGGGCAAAGTTCTTGATGCAAATTAGAGGGCTTATGGCTTTCCAACAAATCAGCCTGGAGGTTTGCAACAGCCCACAATTAGGTGTGTATATAGATGCGAAGGAACACATCAATGCACAACCTCATGCAAGGTGCTTGGAGTGGAGTTGGGGTCCAGCATGCCAGCAATAAACGTAGCAGTGGAAACTTCTGGAGCACCACCCGCCATACACCCAAATGGAGAGTGGTTAGCAGAAGTAGTTGCATCACAAAAAAACATACACCTCACGGTAATAAAACATCATCAAATAACAACGGTTATCTTGAAGAATGGTGTAATGTAAATGAAGAAGGCTTAGATGTTAGTAAAGTTGATAAACTACAAATAAAAGCATTGAAAGAACTATCAATAAAGACCAACGAGTTAGAAGACAAAAAGGCCGATATGATTACCTAAAGATTGTTTTCTATGAACTTATGTGCTCCAAGTCTGATTTAATGAAGTCAATTCTATTTGCCTTTATCGTCATTAATTATCCTTTTATCAAAGCGTATCATAATTAATATCACTGTCTCCATCAGGTTAGCAAAAAGCAAACTGTATTTTTCTTCTGCTGCTTTTCATAAATCTCCAACAATGCATTTTTAGCGTTATGTCAGCATCTTCCAGGTTTCCCTCGGCCTCCTGGATGTCCACCAGTCACTCAGTGCAATCCAAGGTCCCATGATAACCCCAGCCAAAGCACTCGACACATCCGTTGCGGGCCTCGATGAAGCCTTGCTTTGCTTCCGTCAGTTTGTTGTCAGATAGCAGGAAGGAGGACAGGTTGCACATGGAGTCCAATGTATAGGGATGATTTGGACCCAGCTGAGCCCAATCCGGGTGCAGTTTTATATTCTAAATGTTTTCCATGTCCGTGGCCTGTTTATGGAACTTCTGCATTCTTATACAATAATATTTACTTAAAGTTCTACTATACTATCTTTAACTTTTGATTATGTTTTGGAAAACCTGACCGCCTCTTTTTGCTCAATTAGCCCGGCTGTTCTTGTCCCACCTCACCGCACCCCACAGCCTCGAAGAGGAAGAACTTAATATCATTTATATTCCATTATCTCAATAGTTGTGACCACTCAACAGAGGTTGAGATATCTCAGCTATTGAGACCTGCTGTTGGGTTATGAATTGACCAAAGAGAGGCTGGGTTCACTTCGTTTTGTTTTACCACTCTTCGTCCTGTGGGCAAAAAAATGCAGCCGTGTTACCAAGGGATTAGGTACAATAAGGAAGGAGCAGGAGACCAGCGGAGTCGGAGAGCAAGAGACCAGCGGACCAGGAGACCAAAGGACCAGCGGACCAAAGGAGCAGGGGACCTAGTCAGGATTACCCTTTTTGATACGGTTTTTTGTTGATCTTTTTTGATCCTGATGCCCTAAATATTGCCCTCGGGTGGCTCACAAAAGCTAAGCACCGTTGGCATAGCACCTTCCGCCCCTAAATTATACCCTCGGGTGGTTCAGAACAGGTATGCGCCGTTAGACTGGCACCTTCCTCCTCTAAACTCTCGGGCTCACAGAAGGTATGCACCGTTGGAATGGCACCTTCCTCCTCGTCTAAGTTTTACCTTCGGGCGTCTGTCGTTTGACTGGCACTGTCCTCCTCTAAATGTTACCCTCAGGTGGCTCACAAAAGGTACGCGCCGCAGGAATGGCACCTTCCTCCTCTAAACATATTTTTGGGTGCTTCATGCACCGTTGGAATGGCACCTTCCTTCTCTACATTTTACCCTCGGGTGGCTCACAAAGCTCCACGCCGTTGGAATGGCACTTTCCTCTGGTCCTCTAAGTATGCACCCTTGGAATAGCACCTTCCTCCTCTATAAATATTTTGCCCTCGGGTGCTTCACAAAAGGCATGCACCGTTGGAATGGCACCTTCCTCTAAAGTTTACCCTCGAGTAGCTCACAAAAGGTCACACAAGGAATGCACCGGCACAGGCTCTTTACTGCAAGCAACACAGTAAACAAAGCTGGCCACTTGCAGCAGCACTTGCAGCGCTTCAAACTGCCTTTTTGCAATTGCAAAAGCAGAAGCAAAAGCAAAAAAAACAAGCAAAAACGACAGAAGCAAACAGCAAAAGCAAAAGTTGAAGCAAAAGCAAAAAGCAAAAGCAGAAGCAAAAACCAGAAGCAAACAGACAAAGCAAAAGCAGAAGCAAAAAAATCGCGACAAAAAACCCGGACGGAAAATATCGAAAACACATCCCAGATAAATACCGGTTCCTTAATTTATTGATGAAGAGTCTACATTAAGATGTACAAAATTTCTTTTCCAAAAGAATTGGTGGCTGCGCCAGGCCATGCCAGAACCTGAACTCTCCAAGGTGGAGGCGGGTATTTTGCGGCCGGAGTCACAAAGACCCGAAACCTTGAGTCTTACAACGAGATCCAACACGGAGAGAGGAGATACATCATATACATCCATGTTTCAGGTCCAAGGCGTTGGTCGGTTTTGGTTGCTGATTCCTGTACCTAGCATAGTGAGCGACACGCCGAACACTGAGCGGCTCGCCGGTGTAGCCCGCCAGTGGTGAAAAACCGACGAAGAGCAGCGAAGAGCAGGCGATTGAGCTCCTCTTGGCCTATCGAGAACTCTTGTTAGACGAGGATCCGGCGCTGGGTGTGAAGATGGAAGTCGAAAAGGCTGGCAGAAGGATCTTTAGGCTCCTTGTAGAGCACCAACTTGCATTTGTAGTGTTACTTGGTTGTGCCAGTGCTCATCAGTCTTTCATTGCGGTTTTCGGTGGTTTATGGTTCTTAAACCATGTTTGTTCTTCGCGGTTGACCGCGGTGCTTGTACGTGCATGTGTAGTTCCTCGAATCATCTCGACAAGGAAAACTGCTGGACTATACGTTCTTTCTTTGTGATTCGTCAGATCGACCAAAGGAGTTGTTGCTCCAGTTGAAGGGGGTGTAGTAACAAGTGCATCGCTACTAGTAACAAGGGCATCACTGCTAGAAACAAGGGCATCGCTACTAGCAACAAGGGCATTACTACGAGTACTCGTAACAAGAAGCTACTAGTAGTCCTTGCCAAAGCAGTTGATGGGGCTGTTTCCGTGTGCTGCGGGTTTTTTGCCTCAGGAGCTTCAAGAGAATCTGGCAGGCCAGGAGCTAGATGTGCTGTTCAAGGAAGAACTCTTTGGGTTGAAGCTATGTGCTCTCTTTGGGCTCCGTCCTTACATCCTGAGAAGGAGCTCGGCCGGGGATGTTTTGCGGGGGGGGGGTTACCCGGGAGGCGAAAGGAAGATCGAAGATCTTAAGTACTTTGGAGCCCTAAGATAGAAGGGGAATCACTCGCCCAGCGGGTTGGAGGTGGAGGTCAAGTCACTCGCTATCAGTTCCATCAGTTCCAGAGGTCCAGGAGGGTGAATAACCGTTCTGAAAACCTGGAAGTCACTGGCTCCAGTGACTGCTGCATTCGGAGGACGGAGCAAAAGGGCCATGTTCTGACCAACGGTGGGCCGGACGAGACGTCTCAGTCGAAAACGGACATCTCAGACCTGACTTTGTTCACCGCAGTGGATCTTCTGGTTGCTTTGAGATCATTTGAGTGACCTGAGAGAAGAAAGCTCGAAGCGTTCGACACACCAGCGGGTGGATGTTTGTTGTTCAAGGCACATCTTCCCTTGCTTTGTCCCTGTTTCCTCCAGGACTGGCGAAAGAAACACGAAGGAACCACCGCAATAATCTCCAACGACGGCCAATGTCAAGTGCTGTCCATCCGAACATCGGCTCTTTAGGCAAGAGGCACCCAAGCTCTGAAACACATTGTGCTTGGATCAAACAATGTCAAGGATCCTCATGCTCACATATGCCCACCCACGGGCTACTCCGCCCATCCGTCCATAGTTCCGTCCATATGGGTGTGTCTTCGAATGGGGCTATCAGTTCGATCCCTTGGAAGCTTCGGAAAATAGACCAGTCTGGGCCGGCTGGCACCCACCCGACCTAGGACCCCACACACCCATATCACACCACCCGACGAACACGTCGCATGGAAGTGGATGGCATCACTTGGAAGAGCCAACAGGGGGTGCCATCCACTTCCATATGTGGTCCTTGCCGCAGTGTCCCCCGCCCCACGCCCCCCACCCGCGCGCGGGCGGGCGGGGGCGTTCTTTTTTTCGCAGGCCTCGATGAGCACTGCGGCGGAGTCCGGGGACACGGTGGTGAAATCCCCAAGCCTGGTGAACATGTCTGGGTTTAAAAATCCGGTTCCTGAAGCAACTCCAAGCTGAAGGGTTTTCCTATAGAAGGGCATTTCGCAAGAGAAGGAGGGGGTTCTTCATCAAGGAATCAATATCAAGGCAGGCCTTGAGCTCGGCGCCATTGGCTTTCATCATTGGTAGGTTGTGCCCTGGTGGTTCCTCAGATGTTTATGCCAACGGCTTGAAAAGGGGGATGCTCAACCTATGATTATGTTCAACCTTTAATTAGATCGCCTTACGAATTCGCGTCTTCATCAGTCATGACACCTTCATGGGAATTCCATGATCAAGGTCAGGCGAATGGCCTCTCATGACCATTCGCCATGACCACATATGACCATGCACATATTGACCACATGATGGTGGAATAGGTCATGACTCCCTTCTTCCGGTTCCTTTTGTATGTCCTTCAACTGATGCCTTCATTCTGGGAGACCCGCACATGTTAGGGTTAAGAAGGGTGTTCCTATATAGCTGCCTTCTTTGTGAGCAGGGGTTTGCACTGGCCAGACCTTAAAAGCGCTGCCTGATGTTAAACATGACGACCTGGCTTCGAATCCTCAGCTTAAAGGAGCGAAGCGAGCAACTTGTTCAGTCCATGGCCACACAAAAACCTGGTCATCGCGATGACGTGATCCATGGACCGGAACACCTGCCCCGTTACGCATTCGGACGCTTGCTTCGTTCATCGGACGAAGAAGCCCATTTATTCGTGCGTGCGTGCGATGAGACATGGCTACCCTTCGATTCACCTTTGGTCTGCGGATCGCGGATCCGTCAGATGTTTCTGATAGACGGGCTCCGGGGTTCAGGACGACTTGTGTTGCTCTCGTCTGAGAGCAAACAGCAGTTGGGGGGGATTGGGAAACACAGCAGCTACTTCTGCGGAAACCGTATGTCTCACCTAGCTCGCGCTCATTCTACTTAGGTCATGGCAAGATGGCAGCCACCTTGGATAGAAGAGGCGCAAGATTCATTGAAGACCTTGACGTTTGGTAGTTTGTGTAGCGTGTTCCTCGGAAGGACACCTGTACAGGAAAGAAAGCCGACATCTGGAGCCAACTTTGTCTCCTGTCTTCTTCACGATGCGCAGGACCCATATGCAACGTAACTTGACCCATGCGACTGGAGCCAACTTCCGACAACGATAGGACCGTTGTTTCAAGGTTATCTCACCTTTAGTATTGACTTACAATGACTGCTCGTGGATTGCCTTACAATGGAAGCCCCTGATTTTGGGGGGCATTCACATGCGCAAAAACTTTAAAACAATATCTTCTCGGCGCCATGTTGGAGATTTCCAAACTATTTCTCTGCCCACTGCGAGCCATCCAGGGCATCGAGGGGATGAACTTCGGTGGTGCGGAGAAGCTGGAAAAGTTGCCGGTGGTCAAGTGGGCAACGAACCCAGAGGGCACCTGCAGCTGCAGCCAGTGAAGGCTTCCAGAGATTAATTATATATATATATTATACAATTTCGTTCGTGTGGGTGACAGACGCACTGCAATCTCAGACAACCCCGAAGAATTCATGATGCTGAGGACATCCTTACACCCCCCAAAAAGGAGGTGTTTGCTTGGGTTATTTTTGAGGCTGAGTGTTTGTGTGGTTTTTCGATGTTTCGGAAGGGTGCCGTTTGGCCGCACATGGATGCACCGGTGTAGCCGTCGGGTGGTCCATGAGCCACAAACGAGCGAGCAAGCTGCTGTTGTGAGGGTATGCAAGTGGTTCTGTTGATCCAAAAGTCCAAAAGACAGCTAGTAAGCTACCATAAGCTACCATCAGCTACCTGAACCTACCTTCAACCTATACAGTCAGTCTTCTCCATCCCGGCCACGAACCCCTCGGTCAGCACGGCCGGTCTCGCCACGGACGCGCGGTGCGCGCGCTGCGCGGCGCCGGAGGTCCGGGCCCTGCAGACGGCGCTGCAAGAGTTGCACCGCCGAGCCCAAGAGGCGACGGTCGCGACGGGCGGTCCCGCGCGGAGGTCCCGAGCGCGGCCGTTTGGGGCGTTCTGTTTGGAGTCCCAAAGCAATCCGGAAGGGTGATTGGCGACTGTTGACCCATCAAAATCATCAAAGAATGTCTTTTGGTGGATTTCGGTCTAAATTGGAGGTTGTTTGGAAAAACACTGTTCAAGAGATTTTGCCTGTGTGCTGTCATACTGCAGACCGGAACATACTCATGGGATGTCCTTTTTCGGGGACCGTGCCCGGATTCTCCGCCGCAGCGGTTTCACGGAGTTCGTTTAAGTATGTTTAAGTCGGTCGTGGTTTCACCTCGCGTCCTTCTGCCGCGTCTGCGCTGCGTCGTGCTCATGACACTCTGGATGAGACTCGTCCCTCCTCCGGATTGTAAAACCGGAGTCGTAATGACAAATATGAAATAAAAAATATGAAATATATATATATATTGAAATATATTAATATGTACATAATGGTCATTGAGTTGGTCATTGTTCAATCCACGTGTGAGACTCTATGGGGTGAAAGAATCGAAAAGCAAAATCGTTGGCGTCTGGGCCAAGTTCCTTCAGGCCGAGTTCCTTCCTTCCTGCGAAGCAGCCTTCATCGTGGTGGGGTCCCGCGTGTTTTCTTCGCTGGAGACCCATCGGTGGCCCATGTGGAGATGGATTTGGTCACTAGGTCTTAGCTTATGTTATCCCTAGAAGTCCTTATAGGTGTTAGCCTTATAGGTCACTTGGTGTTAGCCTTATAATAGGTCTTAGCCTAGAAGTCCAAAGACTGGGCACCACCAAAGGAAAGGAAGCTCCTTTCAGATCACCTAAAGAACATTTATAGAATAGTCTTGGCCTACTAATTATGTCATATATGTTGTGAACAGGTTTTCGGGTGTCCTTTTGGGAGTACCGGTCATACTCTTGTTGATTGCAGATGGCCGTCCGCTGGGGCATGTATCGATGTTGATTGCGTCATTTAAGACGACATTCTGACCGAGTCCCTTAAGTACCTAAGCCGCGATGGTTCACCTTTCGGGACCAATCACGGCGGCCATTGTTCTTCTCCAGCCAGAAAACGGTGCTGGAAAGCTGTTGGTTCTCTTTCCGCAGCTGGGAAACCCTGAGTGGAGATGGTCACAGTGTGAATGTGAACCACCGAAAACTCCTGTGACTCGCGCGCGCTGGCGTCCAACTCTGGCTCGAGGTGCTGCCAGCGCAGTGTTCGCAGCTGCAGAGCATCTCCCTCCTGGCCAGGTGCGGCGGATTGTGACTCAGATTGTGTTGATTGTCAATATTTGTGTGAGGAGTCGAGTCGCACATCAGAACATAAGTCCAAAAAGCTGCCATCACCTGGGTCACGAGTCAGAAAAAACAAGTCAAAACAAGCGGAAGAAGATCAAAAAGACGGTGTTTCTGCTCATCTTTCTGCTCCGTGGAACGAAGCTTGGCTTCGAATTCTTGCGGGCACAAGCGTCCCAAGAAGGAAGGGATTGACCAATGAGTAATGAGATGTAATGAGTAATTGATGCATGTTCATGTCAGTTCTAGTCTTTTTGTCCAATATAAATATAACTCTTAGAGTTTGCAGTTCCGCTATAGAAATGCAGTCTGGGCTCATGGTCCAGTCTTCCTCCCGCTGAACCGAAACGAGCAGGTCTGGATGGATCATAGTATAGTACTAACAGCAGCAGGCCTCCAACCTAATAGCGATGGCCTCCAACCAAAATACGAGCAGGTCAGCCTTGAGCGACTGGGCAGTCACAGACGCGTTCATGTGAGGCTGGGTGGTGGGGCCGCGCTCTTGCAGCCTGACAGTGGGGAAGCTGAGCCACACCACGAGGATGGAAAGACGGTAGAGGACTTACACCCTGGAAAATTAACATGGAACCTGAAAAACACTAAGTTGTAGACAAAGTAGCCTTCCCAAGGTCCATGCCATCAGGTTCCATGTTAGTCTTCCCGGGTGTACTAAATTTGCAAATAGCAGCTCGCATGAGGGCCTTATTCAAGATGTTTGACAGTTCTCGTGCATTGTCAAGCGAATCAGTCAAATTAGAGTACAGTACGAGATTTCTTTGAAGTACTCTATAGTTATACATACCTAGAACCCATTTGACCTCTGTTTTGATAGGAAAAGACCATGTGTTGGCTCCAAAACAGGGGTCAATCAAGTTCTAGGTATTGTATGGGAACCGGCCCCCCACCTCCATTTCGGAACCTAGCGGACCTAGCGGCCGAGCCCTGAGGTCGGGGTCGGGGAGCGGCCGGGTCAGTGTAGAGAGGTCATGGTGAAAGGATCCAGTTCAGGGAGAGGATCGGAAAGGACCATGTGTTGAATTCCAACAAAGCCAAAGCACCTTTGATTGGTGTGGGCATTTCTTTCATTCCCTGATGGCGCTAAAGCTGAAAGTGACAGCTGAATTGGTTGTGGATCCCCTAGAGAGACAAGGCAACAAGGAAGGCCTCGAATGGAAGCATTCCTGAGGGAAAGAGGGCACAACATTGCCCAATGAAGTAAGCATGTCCTGGGGCCAAATTCCGGTTCACGCTGTAGTTACGCCACTTCTTTGAACAGTTTGTTTGACTGGTGTGACTTCTAAGGAATTGATGTTTTTGGCTGCGGCAGGTACAGCCCGTACACAACAGTTTCCTATCAACCTCCGGCACCTTCTCAGGCCAGGAATCTGAGGCATGTATTTATAATCATTTACAGACAACTTACGAGTTTAGATTCAAAGCACGAACTCGAAGAAGGACATACGCCAACAGCTTGAGGATTTTGGCTGTTTTTTTCCAAGGGTCCCCTCAAAGAGACGTATTTAAAAGAATCGGGAGCCAGAGGCATCAATTTGTGCTTCCCAAATAAGTGCTGTGTTGGACTGTCCCGAGTCATTGTTGAACCCGGAACACTCCGTTTCAAACAACATGTGTGTGTGTGTGTCTAATAGGTTTGGGTGCCTTTCCTGAAACATGCAGCACTTGGGGGGCGCGCCTGAGACCACACCACAACATGGCCCCATGCCTGAAGCCAAAGGAGTGAGAGGGGCCAAATCCTGGACTATTCTTCTTCCCGCAAAAACAATATATTGACAGTCAGCGGCGAAGTTAGAAATTGAACATATATTGACTAGGTATGACTAGGTGATGGTTTCGGATATGTTCACTTTCAACCCTTACTTGGGGATGATTGGACCCTCTGACTCATATTTTTTAAGTGGGTTGAAAACACCAACCAGTTGAGTGGGCTTTTGGCACTGTGATGACTAACCAGCATCGTCCACCGCTCACCGGAGTCCCTCTCAGAAACACGCCGGCCCCGCCCCGCGCTCACGCTCATCGTCCTAGACCGGGGTCGGCGGGTATGTATTTTTAAACCTTGGCATCTACGACTTGGACAACTTTTACCATGTACATTGACACTTTTGACTACTTATGCAACCTTGCCAGCCAGCTACAAGGACCTGTCATGCGGAGGTCAGCGTCATCTTTTCCGAGCCCAAAGTAGCGATGCTGCGTCTCACCCTTGGGCGTCTTGCAGCCAAAAGAACGAAAGCAGAGAAATCACCTCGTGGTTCTGTGCCTTATGTGCCAGATCACCGGTTGACAGGCATCCGGCAGCTCTCAGAGCCGCGCAAGCTTGTAGAAGAAGAGATAGGGCTCATCAAGCGCTTGACAGATGTAGACAATACGCATAATGCTTCAGCTCAGGCAGTGCTCTCAGTGTAGGAAGCTGCGCAGCCACCACTGTCTTTGTCACCTGCTGGGGCAACTCACACGCACCTTTACGCCAACAAGCTAGCGTAGCAGTCTGCTACATGGTCCTTGTTTATGTGGAAGCAAACTTAAATGATTGGGGCGATAGGAAAGAGTGGTTTCAGTGTGAGGTTAACAAAGTGACGACTTGCAAAGTGACCGGCAGGGTCAACGAGTGACATGGCTTCAATGCGTCGGCAATTAGAAGAGAGATGATCGCAAAGCCAATGGAGCTGAAGACCAAAGAGGGGCGCGTGGAACAGCTGTTGAAACTTTTGATTTCGTTAGCAATGGCACTGGAGAAGGAGGCTCATCCAGTGAAGGCGTTGCAGACTGGCAACGACATGATTGTGCCTTGGCTACGAAACGGTTTAGGCTTTGGGTGCGTGTTGTCGATAAAAACTGCATAGCTTGTGGAGCGAGCAGCTCCAAGGGCCTCGATGCATTGCTGCCAAATCTACGGAAGCAAAGGCAAGAGGAATTTCGCTTGCGGATGCTGGCAGGTTTGTTGACAAGCAATGCCAAAAGATCCCCCCAAACGAATTGCTGTCTTGGCTGGGAGTGGAGGAGGCTCCTCAACTCACGGAGCACAATTGCTGATTTCAGCAGCATGACTGTTGACTCTGCCAGACACACTGCAGCTCCACCACGGCCACATGGGCCCTTGCCATATTTGAGAGCTCTGGCATTTGATCGCCCTCCATGCCTGAAACATCCCATTGAATGTGGGTATGCCAAGAGGCCAGTCGATCTTCAACGCACTTCATGCTTCTGGTGGAAGCCGTTCATGTTCAGCGTTGGTGTCTTTCTGATAACTTATCGTCACCATGTTCTTGTGATAGCATCATCATCGCCACCAGCGTCACCACCACCATCGTCATCATCAGGCTGAAACCATCGCATCAAATCACATCACATCACGAGAAGCTCTTCTGCAGGAAGATGCAAGCTCGAGCATTGAGCAGGAAGAACCACTTGGTCATATGAATGCACCAGCTGAACTTGAACCACATACCAAGCTCAGTTCGGTGAACATGCAGACACCGGAGTGCATTAGTCCTTCCAGGTTTCGGTAGATCATAGAGGTGCCTGTTAGCATACATAGAACCTAGATTACAACACATATGTCGATTGCAGGCCCCTGCGTGTCCGACATTGCTTCCACGATGATCCATCAATCACTGGGAACGGACATTTCGCTGTGCCGCTCAAATACACAAAAGTCAAAAACATACATGTGTGTCCGAGAAGGAAAGGGCCCTCCATTGCTTGGGGCGTCGAGTTTCACATGCCTTCGCCCGAGGGAATGCAGCAGAAGCATTGCCGTGCTCGAGGTGGCATTGTCCTGGCTTAGCAGTGTACTGGGACGCCACGGTGGGTGGAAGGGAAACACTCACCGCTCAAAAACTTTGTTGCCTCTTTTGGTATCCTTTTTCTGATGGATTCTCGGCTGGTGTGGGCTTGAGAGCAGCATTGCAAGCAGTGAAGAAGTGGTGTGGGTCGCGGGGTTTGGGGAGGGATACACGACCCAGGTGCCTCAGAACCGTGAGAAAGGAAGATAGGGCGAACAGATGTTGTGAATGACAGCCAACCCAAGGTTTTTTCATTTTGCAGGCAGCCGACAACCAAGGAGCACATGATCCCACATAACGTTCACAGGGGATGAGCAGGCTGGAACTCCCTTTGTGATTGCAAAAGGGTCGAAATCAAATCCGAGTCCAATCTGTTAACTGCATAACAAAAGATGGCATGAGACTCAAGACCTTGAACATATACAGTACAATTCTGGTTGCTGAAAGAGTGCGACCCTTATGAATGAAAACATATGGCCTTTCAAGATACAGCGGTCAGATGAATCCGATGGGCACCCACGATTGTGCACAAAATGAAGATGACCACGATTTAGAGGCAGGCCGATGGTCTTTTCTCTCCATTTGTGCGACCGCCAGGCTCATTTTCCTAGATGCTTTTGCCGGTGAGAGACTCAGAGTCTCATTTTCCATGCGTTTTGCCGCCCTCAAAGAGGATCAGCTGACATTCACTGATCCCTACGACATGGGCCTCAGTTCCAACACACATTCGTTCTTCATTGCCGCGACATCTTCGCAGAGCTGGTGTATACTGTATACATATAGATATGTATTTCTCATGTATGTATATATGTATGTATGCAGTCCGTTTAATACAATAGTTCTATTTTTAGTAAATATGTAACATGTGTTTATGTTTCAAATTGGACCCATCTACAATTGTTCTTCATCGATTCGCACGAAACAACAAACATCAATGAATATCAAAGGAAGGGTCCGGGAAGACCAAGAACCCGCCATCAAGAGAAGTAAGAGGATGCCTTTGGAGGGTTCATGTGTTTGGGGCGTGTTTGGTGTTAGGCGGAGACAACAAACTTATATATATATAATATACAAATTATTGTATATTAATTGCATAGATGTCATTAGGAGTTTGATGGAACTGAACACTTCATACGGGTAAATGACTTAAAGACCAAGTCCTTTGAAAAAGAATACATGTGGGATGGTTTCCGTCGTCGGCCCGCTTCGGCGGCCGAATTTGTTGCATCGCAACCGCGTGAGGCCAAAAGGTTGAAGACGCGCCGATCGCCAGGTGCGAGAGAAGCGACGTGGTGGAGCTATGTTGTACACCTTGTTGGTGTTTTTTTGTTCCCGTGGAAACAGGGAAGGGAATTGACTTTTGGTAAGGGAAAGACTTTCCACGACTCTTGAGAAGATGTGGGCAGGGAATCGCAAAAGACCTATATTTGACACGTAGAAGAGCCACACCAGCCTATCAGCTGTTTCTTTTCAGCGCCCGCTCGTGGTCTTCTAAGGGAGAAGTTGCAGGCGAGCGACCCGCCAGTCCCGCCGGTTTCTGCGCCCGCTCTGGCGCCCGTCCCGCCAGGTCTCCAGTGAAGGAGGGCCCGCCCAGTGAGGCACGGTATTGGACGGAACAGAGGGCCCCGTGTTGGCCAAGACTCTTTGGTAAGGTGCTCTCCTTCCCAAAAAGAAATCAACAAAAACGATGCCTGGGTTTAGGGTTAGCCGGCTTAGACGACAGTGAAACCAGGACCTCTTCTAGGTGACAGACCTCCCAGAGAAGTCCAGCAAATGGTTTGGAAAGGCGGTTTTAGGCCAGTCATTTGTTTGTCAACTTGAAATGGTTTCAGTTGTTCTGTCTACCTTGGCTAAAGGGAACCGGTTGGGTTTCTGATCACCTAATCGGGGCAGCAGATCGATCGGGGGAACGAACGGGCTTCGGCAGTCGGCGATTGGGGGGCCACCCATCGGTGCTGTGCAGGTCTTTCAGCATCTGAAGACAGGTCTTGAGAGGTTTGAGATAATCCAGCAAGGACCTTCTCAGACCTGCAGTGGTTTCAAGGACCTTCTCTTCCCATCTGACCCTCAACCTAGGTCTAAGCAATCACTGCGGTTCTTCTCAGAGGCTTTCTTCATGTACGACGCTCCGGTTCACGATGCCCGACCCTACTTCTACTCCCTACTTCAACCATGGGGAGTGAGAAACCACAGACCCCTGACCTAAGGATTCAGGTCCGATCCACCGGTTCGGGTCCACCCGTGTTTTGGGGTTCGACTGGCGATTGTTCCACTGAGCTCCGTTGACGGCATCCACTGAGGGCAACCAGGTGGTGCTCAGTGGAGCTCCTAAGACCAAGCAGCCATCCGTTGGGAAATCTGTTGGGAATAAACCACCCGATATGAATCGGAAATCCTCGTCATTATGGGGGATGATTGATCAAGAGTCTACATATACTAGAACACTCATCAACTCCAACCACAAGCTCAGGTCAATGGCCACAAGCCAGCCACCCACGCGGATGCGAGAGCCGCGGATGCTGGTGAAGGGCCCGGAGTTCTCAGCAGATGGAAAGGGATTCATACGGAACATGAGATGAGAAGATTCGATCTTGGGCAGGGTTTCTGTGAGACCTGCGGACTTGAAAAAATCCAACTGGTTTGAGTGTCAAAACATCTGGTTTGAGTGTCATGTAACAAGCAGGGTTTCGTCTTCATGGTGTCTTGTTCACCGAAGTCTCGACCTCTCCGCCTTCAGACCGACCCCTCGAGAGGGGTGTTCTCGACGCACTCGGGATCGAACCAAGACTCGGGGTTCGTGGTTCGAGCGAGAATGAGCTGAGAATGAGAGGTGAGGAGTTCCTTCACTTTTGGTTGAAAGAGGTAGGGTGTTCGCCTTGTTCCCCCGTGCACATGTGAAGTCGGAAGTCCTGGACCTTAGAGAACTGCTCTTTTTTCGGCATGGTTGGTGACGCAGTTTCTGGAGGAGGGTTTGGGACTGAAAACCATTGTTTTCTGCAGGTGAAGGCCTCGGTGAGTTGGCCGAGTCACCCTGTGATGACTCTAAGCCAACTCCAAGATGAAACTCTAAGAGGTCGAATGATGTATTTTTCACTCGCTTAGGGGAAGACATCCCTTCTTTTTCGCATGGTTGTTGTTACAATATGCTATTTGTTGATACGATTTGGCCATATACATGCGAATACTATTTGCATGGAAAATTAATGGAAGGGTTAAATGTATTCTCGCCACAAACAATCCTGGTCCTTGCGATACTACCTAATATTTGCAGTGTTCATTCGTAATCACATTTGCCAATTCAATGCTTAAGATATTGCCTAATTCTGATTGGAAGGCTTGGCGGATCCACCCCAGATCCACTGTGGTGAGTGGGTGAGAACGGATGCTAAAATCGGTTGAAACACCCTAAAACCACCTAGGTTGCCACCCTAAAACCACCAACTTGTGTCCTCAACATCCATGCCCGCCCGTTCTCCGCGAGACCCGCTCGGCCAGGCGCCCCAACGGTGCCACGGTCGTCCCAACGGGGCCGACTCGGCGGCTGCCGTCGACGATCAAGTTCCTTCACTTGGAAATCCTTCAGGCAAGGGGAGGGGGGGGGGGGGAAAAAGGGGGGGAATAAGGGTTTTTCATGGTTTTTCTGGAGAAGTGCCCCAGTTACGGCTGACTTGGTATACGGAAGCCTCCAGAACAACTTGCCAGGAATGGACATGCCTTGCCTGGAATGGACCTGTCTTCTTTTTCCCAGAAAACGCTCCAGCCGTTCCTCTCTCGTTCTTTATGCCTCCATGCCCCAGACACGCTAGACAAATCCGTTTGGTCCCCAACACACCGACTATATCCGACTATGAAGCTGATATGGCACCTCATCGCTCTTTAGGGTCTGGTCTTCGTCCGGATCCGTGATCGGATCCGGTGTCGTCGTCCCGTTCGGTCGCCCGGAGCGGAGTGGAGAGATCCAACTGGACCGGGTGTCCCTGACAGGTCGTGTCTGGGGATGTCAAGCTTTCTTTTTCCATGTTGGTTGATCGTCATATGCTCGTCATGGGGTCAGGGAACGGGACGGATGGAATATCATGGATCATGGGACATAGAAGACATCTGCTGGTCATGGGATGAACCCAACGATCAGCTACATCTATTTCGTCCAAACAAATGCCGGAACATGGGTAATTATTTGGATTCGAGTGGAGGGGGCTTCGAAGAGGACAGAAACAGGTGCAAGGGAAAGGTGTTGAGCGGTCGTGGAAAAGACCATGTCTCAGCCTTTGCTCATGAAACATTGACCACCTTCAGGAGAGTTTCCTCCACGACATCTTCACTGTTGCTTCACGACATCTTCACTGGCCATTCTCACCAACTAACCCCCCATCTTCCTGGCGAGTGCACGGATTCCATCTGCAGGTGGAGGAGGAAGCCATTGCCCTCATCTTAGGGGCGGGGGGAACTCGATCCCGTCCCGTGTGGAGCTCGGTTCGACGGGTCTTCCCCAGGTGTGGCGTTCAGAAGCTCGGATCCATCAGGGCTGGAGCCAAAGCCCAGGGCCAGGGCTGAGGCGATGGAGACCTTTTTTGTTTGTGGATTGAACATACTCCCCCGCAAACTAACATAGAACATGAGAATTGACCAGTGGAAGACCATTTTCCGAACACCAACCCAGTGGTTTTTGGGGGGGTTCCATGTGGTCCTCTGCAGAAAAGTAAACATCCAGAAAAGAACCGCGTTCTGCCGCAACCTCCGCCCCACCACCATCGGGACCGCCGGGTTTGCAAAAGCAGCGAAAGCAAGGGGCTCGGCGTGGCTCTCAGGTGATGCAACTCCTCCGTGAGGACGGTGGGAGACGTCGTCTCGCCAGTGCTTTCTCCGGAGAGGGAGGACGTGTTTTTTGTGTTTTGCGCTGAAGTTCTCTTTTGATTGGGTGAGTGATCAGTGATGCTCGCATTCTTCGAAACGCGAAAACAGGTCAGACCAGCCTTTATATATCATGATGTGTTTCATCATGTGTTTGAAACCATCTGTGCTGCGTCCGCTTCACGTCCGCTTCACTCAGCCTGCATGGTCACGGGTCCACGCCCTTTGGGTCGCAGACGTCCAGACCCGGAGATGGTGGGGAAGACTCCCCGAAGTGCCCAGAGCCTGCCTTGCCGCAAGGGCCGGTCGACTTGTCGAGCTCCCAGAGTTCCTTTGCCACTGCAAACCCCGCTGAAAACGAACATGTAACATGCCTGAAAACCACGGTTCTGTAGGGGAAAACAGTCTTTCAGGGTGCCATCCGACGTCCATGTTGGTTTTCAGCAGTGTACCCCTTTCAATGCAACTTGTTTTAAGGAGCTCGACTTGGAGATCCATGGGTCTTCTACATCTTCAGTGGTTTCGGGCACTTTTAAGCATTTTGGGTTCGGTGGTCAGGTGGTCAGCTGCACGAAGTCCCCTCTGATTGTAGGATAGACTGAGAGCTTTGAAGCCGTGACCAGAGAGACGGGCTAGGCCTTTCATAGAAACCAGTCTACAGGTCACAGGCAGTTGGTTCCTCCAAATCGGGCAGAAACAGCCCAGGACAGCTGGGTCACTTTGGAACACAATAAGAAGTTCAGAAACACCACCTCAGTCAGAGACAGAGTCAGAAAACCCACCTTTCCCGTTTGGTCCATAGTGGATCCAAAGGTGAAACTGAGGTCCCTGGTTTGGACCGATGTCCAAAACCCCACCGAGCGACAGCTCTGGGTCACGGTCCAGCCCTGGTTTGGATGGGCCATGGCCCCAGTCGACGAGCCGAAAAGGAGGAAATCTGGAAAAGGTGTTTAGCTTTGGACACCTATTGCGATGGCTTGTTGCCAGTGGCCCAGAGAAAAACGACGAGACGGCTGGTCCCAGACGTGGCCGGAAAGAAGAATGTCAGAGAAAGAGTTTGTTGGGTGCGGCCAGAATCAACAACAAAGGCTGGTTTTTCAGTGTGAACCCTGACGTGTGGACCTTTGCCTAGCAGATGGGTCGACTGAAGGATGCTGTCCCATACCCAGACACTCCATGAGACTGGTATATTTACCTACATTGGAGTGGTTTTGGGGGTCAATGTAAGCATATATGGCATACATGGAGTGTCTGGGATATATGAACGCCGAAAGAAAGAATCCACTTTTCGCCCGAACCCAAAGCCCATGCCATGTGCGATGGAAAATACCGCCTTGAGCGACGTCCAAGCTTTGTACGCTTCAAGATGTGGCTTTGTGATGCGCTTTGTGATGCGCGGTCCATTTACTGTAAGCTTGACAAGCCCGACAGGCGAGTTTGACAAGCTTTATGGTGAGCTGGGACCCCGTGGAATCGGAACGAATATGAACAAATATAATCCGTGTTGCCCAATCTGTACGGAATCTCCTGCTTGGTTTGGCGCCATCTCCAGCCCGCTCAGCGCTTTTGGATCCCGCTTTCGGTTAGGTCCCACTGGCAACCTCCTTGGATAGAAGATGGCTCCTTTGATGAGCTCGAGATGAGCCTGGAACGACGCCTGGCTGCAGAGAAAAGGCAGCTGCTTGGCAGTTTGGATCTCGAATTCTGTTGGGATCTGGAAAAGCACCCAAGAAGAAGAAGAAGAGAGGAGAGATCAGAAGAGACTCAATTGGAGGCTGGAAGTCTTCAGAGCATGTGTTCTCCCTCAAACCGTAAGACCATTGTGAGTACCATTGTTCTTTGCGGATAATTCGGTCTTGGGCGGGAAAGAACACCGGTTTCAAAACAGAACGGCCGGCCCAAGGGCGGCTCCTAGGCGCCCCGTCATGAGGTTCGAAGGAAGCTGGGTGTTTGTTCTTCCATGTCCCAAATCATGGGAAATCTGTTCTTAGCATGAAAGCAAGGACGCAGAACCGAAGCGGGGCACGGCTCTGACTGGCATCGCTACCGAAGCGGAGCCCGAAAACGCAGCATCGATGTCTTCGGAGTGGTCCGGTCTGGTGGGACGGTGAAGTCTTTGAGTCCATCACTGGGCCGAACGGAACGCTCCCCATGGGACGAGCCAGAAGAAGCCAGAGCCAAGCTGAAACATCAACTCAATCCTTCAAGATGCCACCCAGAACTTCCGAGCCCTTCAGGACATATCTAGACTAGACCATGAAGGAATCTGGGAAAAAAACACCTGGTCTTGTAGTGTTTTCCTTCCTGAATAAAACCATTCAATGTTTCAACGGTGTAATTAGGGTACCGCCCTTCACTTCCTCAACCCCCACCACGATTTTCGAGGTCTCCGCAGCACGGAGGACGCACAGGTCTTTGATTGGGCTCGGCAACCCAGTCGCGGCAGCGTGTCGAACGTGGTCACCAAGAGAAGAGGGATGAAACAGGATGCCTTGGGGCAAGGTCCCAGCTGAGTTCCCTCATCCAAGCTGAGTACTTCGGTTTGAAGATGACCTGATTGGTGCTCAGACGGGGCGAATGCTGATAGGTTGAGTTCGCAGCCGGGACCAGGGTACCGGGATGTTTCCGGTTTCAGGACGACTGGACCACTTGGCGAACCCATAAGGGGGAGAGGAGTCACACGGGCAGAAACCATTGAGACAAAGACAGAGTCCCGCTGGTGAAAGCTGTTTGGAGCGAAAAAATCTCTTTGTTTGCTGGAAAGAGGCTCTTTTTGTTCCAACCCATCTTCTATGTCCCCAATCTGTCCACTGTTTTTCTCCCTCCCTTCCTGGCCCCTGGCAGAATGTCCTCCATTTCCGGTGCCATCGCGTTTCCAGGCGATGGCATTGGATGGCTTTTGCTCCTTCGTGGCCAATCTGGCGCTCGCAGCACGTGTTCATCAGGCGCCGCGGGTGGCCTCGCGCGGACGACACCCGGCTTGGAGTGGACGATGCCGGCTCGGCGGTCACCGTTTGGGTCTCGTGAAGTGTTGAAGAGATCTCAGGAAACCTTGCCAATGGCACTCTCAAATGAACTGCCCAACAGGAACTCATTGTTTGAGCCCTATTGGCGCCGCGAGGCTCTACGGCGACGTTTTGTTCCACACGGACAGCTCTCGGACACCGATCGTCGCGACACCGGCTGTGGCGCGCCAGGCGGCCAGTGGCGACTCCCGCGTGGAGGCGAGACCGCGGCGCGGAGCGGCGAAGCAGTTTGGGGCGCATCTGGAAGCGCTGGCGCGGCGCCAAAGAACTGGCTCTAGTGCTCAGCACAGTGGCTTAGCACGGTCGCAAGGTGTTTGTCGCATGTTGCAAGGGATCTTGGACGGAAGGAACTATCGAGGCGAACTCGGAAGTTCCTCTCTTCGTGCCGAACTCGTACCGTCAGTCGGAAGAAGCCACGCCATGCCGAGCAGCTTACCCAGGATCCTTCAAGCACAGGCGGTTTCGTTTGCTGGACCATCCACGGGTTGTCGTGTCGAAAAGAAAACAAACAGTGCCATCCTCACCACTACTCTGCGTAATTACATGTAATCAATACTCTGCTCTGCTGGTTGTCGAGTGTCTCAGGTGCCTGGCTCAGAGCGACAGCAACAGGAGGGACCGACTCTGGAGCAGCTCAGCAGCGCCCAGAGATGTCGAAGGCGGCGTTTCAAGAGTTTGTGGACAACTTCCTTATGCTGATACTTCCTTTCTTAAAGATTCCCAGAATCCCCCAATAGGTTTCGGTTTCGGTTTCTGTGTTTGGGACTCTGTATACTTGCTTGGATTGGATGTGCACTTGTTTCAATGTATGTAGATGTTTCAGATTACAAGCAGTGACTGTGTTTTTCTGTAATCGGTTCAAAGCGTGTTGGAAGCCTTTTTAAAGGTATTGCCATTGCCTTCAAGGGAAACATCCAGCTCACGTAGAAGCGGGAAAACCATGATGATGCTCGGTCCTTCGGCTGGGATGGATCTCTGAATCGAGATGAATGCAGATGGTTGAAGGACTTCCTTCCAACCTTGCTCGCTCTGCATGTGGAAGTTGTTTTCACCTGCAGTTAGGTGAATCTCATGAGCCATGGGTTTTCAAGGTTTGGAAAACATCTTTCGGTACCAACAAATGGCGAAAACCGTCACCCGGTGCCCATGTGTGTATCTTCCAACAATTCGCAGCCTGAAAACCTCGCGTTAGCCGCTGTTAGGCGGAAAACATTGAACATCGACAGTGAAGACTGTCTCCTTTGAAAACCTCCATGTAACTAGTCGGCCACAAAGGATGCGGTTCCGAACGGCTGTTCACCCGCGCGACCCGCCGGGGCCGCTTCCGAAGCGCGCCATTTTCCCCGCCTCCTGAGCGCCGGCGCTCGACCCGCTGCTCAGGTCGGATGGAGCGCCCCAAGCGGGGCGGACCGAACTGGTGGTCGTGGTGCCGGACGACCTCGCCGAATGGCACCTCGAAGGTGCGGAACGCGGAGCCGGGGCCCGTTCGGCCCTCGGAGGTTCCGAGGGATTGACCGGTTGGTCTCTGAAAGTGGGGAAAACACGAAGCAGACGTCCTGCAGGAGAAACTCGAACATCCTGCGGATGCGAAATCGACGGACCAAGGATATTAAGAACTAGCTTGGTGCTGTCATTAGCTTCCCTTGTGTGTGTGTGTGTCGCATATGTATGGTTTTCCATGTCTCTTCCTAGATTTGGGTTTTCTGTTACTTGCATGGTGCTTCCTCTTTCCACATGTGTGTTGTTTTTTCGCTTCCCAATGTTTTTCAGAGTCTTGTTTGCTTTCCCGCAGCTCTTTGACTAGTTTTTGCGCTTTCGGAGTCATAAGTTGCATTGAAGCGTGAGGGGTTGCCTTGAAAATCAGATTTCATGGCAGACGCAGCACTTAAGAATTAGATTTTGTGGTGCTCGACATCCAGCACACTTGCACTAGCATTTTCTGAAAGCTGTGGAGAGAGTTGCTGGCTTGCCACCACCCTACAGTAAAACTCATTTTGGGTAAAGGGAGACAGATGGAGACTGGTTTGATTGATGTTGCGCAATACACGTGGGTACACTATCTCCATGAAGGAACTATTCCAGAGCGGTGCAGCCGCCACAGGACGAAGTAGGGGACTGTAGCATGTTGTAGCACCTCCCCAGCTATAAAGCTAAATGGGAGTTAAGCCTGCTTGACATCCTCATGGAATTGGAGAATATGACCTCTTTGGTTTTCGGAATTGGAGAGGGATATGAACATGGTCATCCGATCCGCACCTGAACATGGTCTTCTGGTCGGTTGGATCCGGGATCCGAACGAAGACATCAGCGGTTCTGTTCGGAGCGCTCCATGAAACTGCAAGTCCTGAGCGATAGCCACGATAAAACAGGATAAAACCACCCTATAGGGCCAGCGTATAGAGAGCAAGAAGCTACGAATTAGGTGGGAGGCCATCGTTACTGTTGGAGTGTTTGGACGCCAGATCTTCCAAGAGCCCCCCCAAGCTGACAGCTGAGCCCTGCTTCGCTGCTCTTCGGCCAGTCTTGGGGCCCCTACTTCGAGCCTTTAAGATCTTCATGTTGACCGAGAAGGCGCGAGCTCCGCTGCTCCGCTTGTCTGAGCTCACCGAGCCGTGAAACGCATGAGCCGTTGTTCTGTTGAAAGCATCTGTTCAGTCGGCTTCGCGGCTGAAGTAGTCATGGTTTGCCTGGTTTGCCAGTCCAGACATTGATCCCCCCCAAATCCCAGTAAGACGCGATCGACACTCGAATCGGTCTGACACGGGTGTAGGCACGGGCTGCGAACCGTGAACACTTTGCCACACATTCCAGATCCCATGTGGATGTGTATTTTAAATACACCCGCTGTGAACTTGATGGATGATTCGTTCGCACGCAAACCACCGAGACGACCGACTGAGGACTGGCACGCGCGCAGAACCACCGAATTCTCAAGCAGAACTGCTCAAAACCTCCTCCACCCTAAACCCCAATATAAACCCTCTAAACCCTAAATCTCCCCAACCTCAACCGGCAGTGGACAACGCTCTCCAGGCCTGGCGAGCGGACTTCCAAGCCGCTCCTCATGTGTCGTTCTCGGTGCAGGCGAGGCGTTTCCAACGGGGGCCGTCCTGATCTGCCAATCGGACCTGTCTGCCACCGGCCAGACACTCCCTGGCCCCCCCCGCCAGACACTCCCTGAGCTGGGGAACGAACGTGCGTTCCGATGGTCCAAACAGAACCCAAGGGGATGGGGAACGCCTCAAAAAGGGGGTCTCCCTTTATGGGTCACACACCCGGTTTTGGGTTGGTGAGTGGAGGTGGGAAGGAGGTGTCCGGTCCAAACTGCGCGTTCAGAAGCTGAGCTGAGCTGCGATGTTGAGAGGGTTGGCACTTTTTTTCAAGCTTGTTGATGCAGGAAAAGAAGCTGCATTATCCTCATCAAGGCCTTTTTTTGATGAAACTCTACTGCCTGGAAAGCCAAACAACCACTTCCTATGTTTGGAACGACCGCGGTGTTTCTGAGATGCTCGCTGTTTGGGTGTCCAGGTGATGAAAGGTTGTTGTGTTTCACCAAGTGAAGTGGTATGTTTGAAGCTGTCGGAATGATGATGATATTGCCAATATAATGAGTATTGCTACTCTGCAAGATCGACTCAGGAATTAGGGTCGTCTTTGGCGGACATCGTGTGGAGTTTTCGGTGTCCTTTTCTTCGCCTTAGAAGCTTACTACTAGGAGCAAGGCACTACTAGGAGCAAAGGGCATCGCTACTAGGAGCAAGGACGCTACGGGGGGGCTCCTGGCATCGCTACTAGGAGCAAGGACCCTACTAGGAGCAAAGGGCATCGCTACTAGGAGCAAGGACGCTACTAGGGGCTCCTGGCATCGCTACTAGGAGCAAGGACGCTAGTAGGGGCTCCTGGCATCGCTACTAGGAGCAACACTGCTAGGGGCTCCTGGCCTTACTACTAGGAGCAAGGACGCTACTAGGCCCCAACAGGAAGGAAGATGAGAAGATGTTTGACAGCAGTACACCAGCATGTGAAAAAAGGACCAATGAGCTACAAGCTGGCCAGAGGCCGCAGTAAGAGTTAAAAATACACATGTGAAACAACCCTCCCTGGTGGTAGCCATACATCATGTTGATATCACCTTGCATTTTGGCTCAAGTCCTTTTATAATCGGGATAGATCGATCGCACTTGAGTGTAGCTGAACTTTCCTCCCACAACCCTGATACAAAATTATTCGAAAGAACTCCAATTGCACTTCTCAGTTGATAGATCTTTGTGTGGACTGCAAAGCAATCAAACCAAGTAATTCTGAGAGTCTATCTCTAAACCAAGTTGAGCCGTTCAAGGATTTCGCACCTGCTTGCCGTATAGTGATCAAGCGTTTCGGTCTCCAATTCCCGTCAAGTTTGATCAGAGTAGTAGATGCGAAGGGCGCCTACGACACCACCGTGGCGTCGGGATCGCTCGCGTTCTCGAAAGCCGCTCGCCCGCATTCCGGAGCCAGTTGCCCGTGTGAGAGTGGTAGCTGGCGAGAGACGGGGTGGAAGGGTGTGGCTGAGGCGCCGGAAGCGGGCTGTGTTGACTCTTCGTGAACATCTCTTGTCACTGTCCACTCGGATCACTCAGCACGAGTCCTTTGATCCTGCAGTTCGGTCGCACGGGCAAGCCCCTCGAAGGGTGCATCAGATTCGACGGCTGATTGATCAAGGGAGGAGAAACATTTTGCCACACAGACGTGCTCCGGTGTTGCCTCCTTTGTCAGATACAGAGTCGAGTGACGAGAGCGTGATTGCCGAGCCTGTGTACATCACTGACTCCGAGGCCTCGGAGGAAGCGGCTCCCCTCCCTGAGGTGTCCGACCACGAGCTCAGAGGGGTGTGGAGGGCCTGCTCTTTGCCGTTCCTGGACATGCGTTTCTACTTTAAAACATAGCGGCAAGTGGAAATGCGCGTTTATAGTGTATACACTGCAAATGCGCCGTTTCGATTGCAAATGCGAAATTTCAATATCAAAAGATAAGGCATGATAAGGCCAACAAATTTTAGTTGGTTGATAGGTTTGTTGGGCAAGTGCGGTGCAGATGTGTGGTTGAGATGTTGTGTAGAGCAGTTGCTTTAGGACTTGGTGGGACCGCTCGTTTCGACGCGTCGATGGAACTTGCGCACGCATGACTTGGTCGCTCATGATCCTTGCTCACTCATGAACCTTGCGCATCCACGATGTTGCCCATGCATGTATCGTTTGCTCACGCACGCAGTCGCCAACGTGTCATGTCCGCAGCATGTTTCACAGATCGGTTGCAAACGGGCCCCTCAAGCTGCGGCGGGCCATCCCCTGTGTGGGCTCCTGAGCTCTTAGCTAGTAGGGTTGGGCACAGTGACATTGACACCGATTGACACAACTTTCCGCTTCCTTTTGGGCACAAGAGCTCCTTGTTGCTTTGCCTTGCTGTTGCCCAGCATGCAGGGCCATGCTGGGTCATTTTTCAAGACACTCCTTCTCCCATCTCACAGTAGCATCGATTGAAGGAGGATGATACTTCTCCAACTTCAATCACTTCAGCTGTTGGCGAATCCCCGCCGCCAAGCCCGACAGAGGCACGCGGCAGTCAGATGACCAACCAAATATGCGCTTGATGACGGTGCCAACGCCGACTGTGATGCCGTTTGAGGACTGACATGCAGATCCTTTGTCTTCCTTTTGGTTGTTCCTTCCCCAGGACAATTTTACAACAGAGCAGACGAATGAGGTGGAAGCAGGTCACAACGAAAGAACAGCTTGTGAATCTGTATCTGGTGAGCAGCGAGTTGCAAAGAAGGCCAAGCCAGCTGCTTCTGTGAAGCCAAAAGTACCCCAGTGGAATCCACCGACGGCTGCGAAGCCCTCCACCTCCTCCAAAGAACAAGGCCAGAGCTCTGTTCTAGCTTTTGATCAAAGGGTGCGCTCTGACTTTATTCCGGGCGTGTGGCAAGGCTGGGGGCAAAGGTGCTGCCTGCTGTGTACGTGGGAGGCGCTGGTCCTGTTTTGCAAGTTTGGTGATGGATATGCACTTTGCGTTTCAGAGTGGCAAAACGAGCAAGAATACCCGAGTGACTTGTGAATTTGTGGCAGGTGCGGAACAGTGCTACCGGGAAGCTTGAAGGGTTCAAGACCCTCATCAACTCACGGCAGAGCGCACTGCATTCGGACGACAGGCCTGAGGTTTGCGAAGAGTTCAAAGATCACAGGAACTCGGATAACCTTCAGGTTTGGTCGCCTGTTTACATTGTTGTGCCGCGTAAGCCTAAGCCAACCGGAGTCATTGCCTTTAGGAATCTCATTGACTTTTGTGCACGCGTCGAGAGGGCTCTTTCATCGAGTGCCCGCTGAGTCTGATTGCATCGAAGACCAAAAAAGAATCGACATCATTCTAACTAGAGAGTGTGCTGATATCCAATTGCAAAGCATTTGTTGACATTGTGCATTCAATCAAATTCCATATAACCATTGCGGGGCGTTGCGATCCAGTGCAACACCGCAAGTGAGGGGTGTGTTGCTTGACATTCCGCCGAGGTGTGAAAAGTCGAGGACGTGCTCCATACCCAGCGCCTTGATTGCATAATCATGCCAAACATCAAAGAAATAACCATATGGGTGTCAGAAGAGTCATCCTTGCAAGCTTCGACAACATCACCAGAGCAACCGGTCCAAGTTCAATCAAGGGCCTTGCAGGTGAGGAAATCCAATGCAAAGCATAGTGCCGGGAGCTCCTCACGAAGCGGCAGTGGTAAGTCATCATCCCGGCCCCCTTCAGGTCCGCCATCGCAGTGGGGTCCAGGGTCTATTGCCATGACACGAGCTCAACCCAGTGCTCTTCACATGCATGATGAAAGGTCGGTTCGACACACTGTTGCGCGCTACCAAGATCAAAGGATGTTTGTGCACCACCAAGACCAAAGGTCAGCGCAGGTAAATGTCGGTGTTGATCCAAATGCAGTCATTGCCCGTGAAGCCCAGATCATGTCTGAAGCACACGCCGCTCTCCATGCTGCCCGTAGTCAGGTTGAAAGTTTTCAACATGAAGCTCAGGCACATTCCCAAGGTATTGAACATAGAGCTAAGCCCTAGTGAGTGAATTGCAAGCCCGTCATCAAAAGGAACTTGCACAGGTTCAAGATGTTGCTCAACAAGCGCTCCAGGAAGCCCAACGGGCCATTAATGAATCCCAACAAAGGTTGCAGGTGTCAGAGGCACGCGATCGTGAGTTGACTGGTATGATTGAATCTCAATCCAATTTCCTGGAATCCCAAAGACAGGAGCACTAAGCTTTGATGAGCCAGGTTGCCATGTTGCAGAATGAGATCACCCTTCTCCGTCATTCATCAGCACCACCCACTGTTCAAACCCAAGACCAAAATAGCGCGGTCCATATGCAGGAGCCGATGAACATGGTAAATTCCTTGAGGGAAGAAGTTGGCATCATGAAAGGGTACAGTACATGTCACCACCTTCAAAAGTTAAGAGATCAAAGAAGGGTACTGTCACTCCACCCTCACTGGGATCCCAAGGAGTTGCATTGAGTCCCATGCCATCAATCAGCATGCGCAGGGTACCCAGTTTAGCGTCTTGGAAGGTGCCACAATCAGTCCCGGCCATCCCAACTGCCTGTGAAAACATATATTCCATAGGAACCACTCCATCTGCCATTGCGCTGCCACCAGGACCACCATCCAGCAATCCGTCATCACCATCATCATCGACAAGCGACGATTCGCACGGCGGCAACGGGGGAGGTGGAAGCCTTAGTTTACCTCAGTTCGAAGATTATGATCGACACAACATGTCAGTAGGAGTTGGTTCCGGTACATTGGGTTTCATGGCCGAGAAAGATGTAAAGGCCAAAAGAGCTTTCACTAATAAAGATTGAGGCTCTTCCAACAACAGCGTCAGAGTTCCGCGCATGCAAAAACACCTGTCTGACCAAGATCGCTTTGATTGACCAAACAGGCATGGATTTTATCTTGGCTTGGGTCACGCAAGCATTCACGGAAGGGAAAGATGCATCGGATGTTCATGACTGGTCTTTTGCCGCGTTTGGATGCCCACCTCGGA